GATGGGCTCTCAAAGTCCCCCCCACACATACCAGGGCAAAACGCCAGTCCACCTCCGGAGAAGCTGAGTTCTTCTAATGAGGAAGTCATAGACCTAGAATCTATAGTTTGGCTTCAAAATGAATCATGGGATAGCCTCTCCAACAGGCTAAAACTAATATCAGAGGAATGACTTGGCTTACAGGGGACTGTTAATGAGGAAAAGAGGCTGTCATCAACTCTACACAGCTCTCAGATGTCATTTATTTGTTTTGGTTTTACGAGACAGGGTTTCCCTGTGTAGCCTTTGTTATCCTAGAACTCGTTTTGTAGACCAGGCTGGCCTTGAAGTCACAGGGCTCTACCTGCCTTCTCAGATGTTGTTAAGGGTCCGGCTACTAGGCTGGTTTCAATATTTTCACGAACAACTTCATAAAGTGCTTCGAACGCAACTGATAAGACAAAGTTAGCCTTTATTATGAAACTGAGAACATGTCTAGTAATCTAAAAAGCTAATTCTTCTAAATCCTAGTCTAGTGCCTTGTCTAAGTCTAGTGCCCTGTCTACTGTACTACAAAGACAGTAAGACAGGTAAGAAGCCAGGGAGAAGCTGCAGGACCACACAGCCAGAGCACACTCTACCTGTGGCACATTTAAAGGGGCTGGGCACACAGACTCATTTCCAACATGTAAGGAAGACATCTTAGATTAGAGTAGTTTGGGGGCAAGCAGAAATACAAGGGGAGCAAATGTACATTCATGCAACTAGATGAAAGGGAATTCCTGAAATAACCCATCACTTGTCTGTATCACAGGGAAATAGTTACTTCCCCTGGCAGGATGACATATTCACTTGTTCTTCCTCTACTCCCATTTTTCTGAACATCTATTTAAAGCCAGGGACTCCAAAAGAAGCACATTCATACAATAATGAATGGTGGTAGGGGAGGAAGGGAGGGAGAATGGAACTGGGATTGGCATGTAAAACAATCTTGTTTGTAATTCAAATAAAAAAAAAGTAATAAAAAATAAATAAAGCCAGGGACTCTGCTAGGATCATTTTCATCACCAAGGGCATCTGTTCAATGAAGTTCATAGCAGCATTATTTGTAATAGCCAGAAACTGGAAGCAGCCTAGATGCCCCTCAACCAAAGAATGGATAGAGAAAATGTGGTACATTTACACAATGGAGTACTACTCAGCAGAAAAAAACAATGGAATCTTGACATTTGCAGGAAAATGGATGGAACTCGAAGAAACCATTCTGAGCGAGGTAACCCAGTCACAAAAAGACAAGCATGATTCGTACTCACTCAATGTGGATTTTAGACATAGAGTAAGGGATTACTAACCTACAGTCCACACTGCCAGAGAAACTAGTAAACAAGGAGGACCCTAAAACATGGTACCCTGGAGAATCGAAAAGGGACAAGATCTCCTGAGGAAATTGGGAGCATGGTGGGAGGGGAGAGGGAACTAGGAGAATGAGAAGGGGAGAAGAGGAGGGGTGAGGAAGACATGATGGGGCAGGGAGGTTGA